CAGCAACCTCAAACTCCTGGGGTCAAGCGATCCTTCTGCCTCAGCCTCCCGAGTAGCTGGGACTACAGGCATGCGCCACCATGCCCGGCTAATTTTTTCTATATATTTTTAGTTGGCCAATTAACTTCTTTTTGTTTTTAGTAAAGACAGGGTCTTGCTCTTGCTCAGGCTGGTCTCAAACTCCTGAGCTCAAACGATCCGCCCACCTTGGCCTCCCAGAGTGCTAGGATTACAGGCGTGAGCCACGGAGCCCAGCCAGGAGGAATAAGTTTTGAGATCTATTGCACAGCAGGTGGACTATAGTTAAAAACAATAGATTATGTATTTCAAAATTGCTAAGAGAGTAAATTTCAAATATTCTCACCACAAAAAATGGTAATTATTCAAGGTGATGGATGGGTTAATTAGCTGGATTCAGTCATTTCACTTTGTGTGAATATAACATCACATTGTACCCAATAAATATATATGATCATAATTTGTCAATATTTTATTTATGTCAATATATTATTTAATTTGTAAATATTTTATTTATAATAAAATAAAAAATTTTTAAATGCCAGAAAAATAAAAGCAACTTTCCCTTTTCCCTCCATGACTCAGAAAACTAACTAGTAACATTGTAAAGCAGGAAAACTGCTTAAATCTTAGCTTCCCTGAAGAGTTTATATTTGGCATACTAGGGATATTTCCAACACCATTCCTTAAATTCCTCTTAAGACCTCTCCCACTTACAGCAGCTCTTGCCCAAGACTTCAATAAGGCCTTTTTCTTCATAAGCTTCAATATTCTAAGTTACTTGGAAATTGTGATGAAAAAAATAGGTGCAAAAATAGTTTTTCCAAAAGATCTCATGTATTCTCCTACTCCATTTCCAAAATATATAGGGTATATATAATTGAGATCCATCTTTAATTATAAAAATGCTCTGAGGTATCTCACATATTTTTCCTTAAAAAATTCAGAAAATAACTACCGTCAATCTGTAATTACATTTAAGTCATCTCCTCATACACCTAACCAGTGTGTCCACTCAGAAAGTTACAGGAAAATAATGAGTTACTTCTAAATGCCAGGCACTCTATTTGCTACATCACAACAGAGCTGAAAGATAAGGTTTGATGGAGCTCTGCTCTTTGTTATATGTGTGATATTGGGCATACTACTCAATTACTCTCTGCTTTAATGTTAATCTTTTAGATTGAGAAAATAATAATAATAATTACCTCACAGGGTTAGTGTGCAGTTTAAACCAGCTAATGTAAGACTTAGGAACCAGAGTTGGCATCTAGAGTTAGCTGATTATAGCCAGCACCAATAATTTGGAACTAAAAAACAGAGCTGTTGTAGGAAAGAGAAGTTGGCCACAATTCCTGGCAAAGAACTAAAGAATCAAATTAGTATTCTCTTAAGAATCTTCAGCCTCGGACCTGCATCCAATTGGAAGGAAGGTATGAAGAACTATTAGGGAGAAGTCCTGGGCTAGACTGTTCCTAACACAAAACCAAAGGTTGTGGATGGGACCAGACTAGCCTCTGGAATGCAATATTTGGCTAGAGTTGGCACTTAGAAACAATGCAATAGAGTTTGCTTTGAAAAATATGTAAATTACGTAAACTGTTATTACTACATACATATATAGACTAATACACACAGATATCTGCCCCCAAGCAGAGGTGGATTTATTAATATATGTTGCACGGCTGAAGTGAAGAAAATAGATGAGTGGGTAGATATATCAGGGAGAACAAAGAGAATAGTAATAAAACTAGATTAGAAAGACCATATAGGGTGATGGCTAAGAATTCAGGCTTTACAGGCAGAATGCCTGCATTCAAATCTTGGCTCCACCACTCACTTTTTGGTGTGAACTCAGGCAAGTTAAATAACTTTTCCATGCCTGAGTTTCCTCCTGTGTAAATATGGATCATATTAGTACCTACCTCATAGGATAGTTGTAACGATTAAAAAATGAATATATAAAGCACTTAGAAGATTTCCTGGCACATAGTAAGTATCAGTTGCCTAATCTATAAAATGGGATAATAACATTTATTACTCCACAGGTTGTTGTACTAATTAAATAAATCATATCTATAAAGTGCTTAACACATGATAAATAAATAAATATTAGATATTTTCATTAAAACATGGGTGGGTACTGAAAATTTTTTTAAATCTGAAAAAAATATTTCATAATAGAATATAACAGAAAATATTATGAGAATCCTTATTTCTATTTTGGTGTTGAATATATTTACTGGAAAACCATGAGTAAGTTGGCATACTTATCCACTTTCCAATGTATAAAACACATCTGAATAATTCCATCTCTTAGATCTGTCAAGGGATTTAAGTCACAGATAAAAAATACAGACCAAAAGAAAAAGAACCCACAACTAAAACAGCAATTTTGAAATAATATCCCTCTAAATACTCATTGGCCGACAAAGAAAACATTAAATCTAATAGCATAAAAACTAATAATCAAAAACCTATTTACAATTTTACTTACAGAGAAAACACTTTCATAACTTTAACAAATGTGCATTCATAGAGAAACTTGCTACATCATGCTTTCTAATGAACAGAACAAATGTTGCCATAATATTTAGAAACCCAAATAAGCATACTTGTTTTCAGATCATAAGGAAACCAACAGTGTACAGAAGTCAAGATAACAAAGAAAATTTTGAGAAGGACATTGCAGTCAACAGTTCAGCTGCTGAGAGGCTAAAGCAACAACCGGCAAGTATCCATGTGGTTTATCAACAAGAATATAATTGGTGCATCTTGACAAAATCATTGTATGGGGTGGTTGGGGTTATGGGAAATACCAGATAAATCATAGGAAACATGGGAAATGATTTTTATAGAGACAGGAGCAATAGACAAAGAATGAGCCACTAACTTTGAGTTAAGAAAACTTCCCCAAATTAGAGTTATTCAAACTGAAATTTTTTTCAAGCTATAATCTTTGTTCTAATATCAACAAATAAAGCATATTGATACTGGAGATTTATTCCACAAAGCCTCTTACTGGGTCATCCTTGACCCAAAGTGAATAGGATAACTTTAGTCTTTCCGCCTAAAATACGTTAAAGCAAAATAATTTAAGATGATATATATGTAAGGTTAAGCTGAATAATGTCTCACTGGATTTTATTAGAATATTTCTGTGCTAAGAGATTCTTGGCTAGCAATGAAAGGAAGATTTAAGATCTTTTTTCAAGATGTGATACATGTACCAGTTTCCATCCCACAAAAGGATTATGCAGACTGGAATTTAAGAAATCACTTTTAGGCCAGGCGAGGTGCCTCACGCCTGTAATCCTAGCACTCTGGGAGGCCGAGGCAGGAAGACTGCTTGAGTTCAGGAGTTTGAGACCAGCTTAAGCAAGACCAAGACCTCGTCTCTACTAAAAACAGAAAAAACTAGCCAGTCAACTAAAAATGAAACAAAAAATTAGCTGGGCATGGTGGCTCGCGCCTGTAGTCCCAGCTACTCGGGAGGCTGAGGCAGTAGGATTGCTTGAGCCCAGGAGTTTGAGGTTGCTGTGAGCTAGGCTGATACCATGGCACTCACTCTAGCCCGGGCAACAAAGCAAGACTCTGTTTCAAAAAAAAAAAAAAAATCACTTGTAATTCTTCTGATCAGTTCTGAATGACCATTAATATCATTCATTCATTCATCTAAAAAGTGCTGTCTAATAGAAACACAATGTGAGCTGCTTGTACAATTTAAAATTTTCTAGTATAAACATTAGAAAAGTAAAAAGAAATAGGTAACATTAACTTTAATATGTCTATTTAACTTGATATCCAAAATACTATCACTTCAACACATAATCAATATAAAAATTATTGCTCAGATACTTTACATTCTTTCTTTCACACTAAATCTTTGGAATCAGTGTTTATTTTACATTTGCAACATATCTCAATTTGTAGCACATCTCATTTGAAGTGTTCAGTAGCCACATTTGGCTAGTGGCTACTGTACTGGACAGCACAGGTCTAGAGTCCAAGTTGTCTGGAAACAGGTACATGGGTTGTCTTGTTTTATGGTTTTTCTGTTTTTGTTTTTGAGACAGAGTCTTGCTCTGTTGCCTGGGATAGAGTGCCATGGTGTCAGCATAGCTCACTACAATCTCAAACTCCTGGGCTCAAGCAATCCTCCTGCCTCAGCCTCCTGAGTAGCTGGGACTACAGGCACACACCACCACGCCCGACTAACCTTTTCTATTTTTAGTAGAGATGGGGGTCTCACTCTTGCTCAGGCTGGTCTCAAACCCCTGAGCTCAAGTGATCCTCCTGCCTTGGCCTCCCAGCATGCTAGGATTACAGGCATGAGCCACTGTGCCCGGCTAGTATTAAGAACAGTAGCTAGCATAAATTAGCCCTCAAAGTATAGTTGTTGAATGAATAAATAAATCTATTACATAGATACTTGCAAAAAAAAATTCTTGTGATATAAATGACAATCTAATCACATGATTAGAATTATTAAGAAAAGTATATAGGTATATTAAACTCAATTCTAGCCCAAATGATGGTTTAGTAATACATAATCAAGACAAATTCCTAAGTAGATGTATACTTCAAATATGGTATAAATACATTTTACTATCAATAGAGAAATTTCTTCTATAACTTAAAGTGACTTTCCTAAACATTTAGTAGATAAAAGGTTGTCACACTCATCTAATAACATCAAATAAATTATAGCTTTTCTCTCTGAAATGCTATTCATCAAACATACACAATTCTCACATATTCCACTAACATTCTCAAATAAATATTTTTTGTTTTAATGTCTAATCCACCCTAATACCAGCAAAAGACTATGCCAAACATAGCTTCAAACACTTGAAAAAAGTTAAATTACATTCTTTATTTTTAAAATGCTTAATCCCAAAAGTACTGACGTTATTGAATATAAATGAAACAGACCCCAAATAGCTGACACTTAATAACAAAGGTTAGAGAGAAAAGCTTACCTTCTCTGCTAAGAGCTCTCGTATCTTGCTTGCTTGAACTCTAAATTTCATGAGCTGGGACTCCAGAGCTACACATCTTTCTTTCCAATCTACGGGTCCTTCTGGCTCAGAAAGCTCTGCCATATTTATTCTAAAAAAGAAAGCATTCATATGGCACAGCACAATTAACATTCAGGATAATTCATGAAATCACCCAATGTACACAGTCTAGTCAGCATCTAATGATATCCACATATAAGTTTTAAATTCTAAGATAAATTTCAGAACTGATTGTAGCTAATGGAAAGAACTTAGTGGGAGACAGAAGGCCAGGGTTGGAGGCCCAGCTATGTTACTTAACCTTTCTATGTTTCAGTTTACCCAATCTAGACAAATGGGGATGCTAACTATAACAAACCATTCTTCCTCATGGGTATGTTGTAAAGAACAAATGAAATATTGCTGTTTCTAACAGAACTTTGGACAGTGCAATAGCACAACACAAACACAGAGTACTATTATTATTTTAGCTCTGCCCAGCAGATAAGACTGTTTAAATCTCTCAGCTCATAATTTTACCACACTCTTAAATTTACAAAAGTATCACTTTGATTCAATTGGTAAAATAACCTAAAGAAATTTCATAGCAGTGCTGCAATTATGGTTTAGATTTGTACTACAATGATTACTTACCACCACTCTAAATTTGTCTAAATTCAGTCTAAGTCTTTCAAGCCAAAAGTCCTTTGGCATATTTAACTGGGTAAGTTATTATGACCCTGACAAATTTGCATAATTTTTATTTTGTGTAAGAAAAGAAAACATATAAATATGAAATTTGGGCCAGGTGCAGTGGCTCATGCCCATGTGTAATCTCAGCACTCTGGGAGGCCAAGGTGAGAGGACTGTTTGAGAACAGGAGTTTGAGAAACATAAGAGGACCCTGTCTCTACAAAAAATTTTTTTTAAATTAGCCAGGTGTGATGGCCCACGATTGTAGTCCTAGCTACTCAGGAGACTGAGGCAAGAGGATCTCTTGAGCCCAGGAGTTTATAGCTGCAGTGAGCTATGATTGCACCACTGTACTCCAGCTTGGGCAACAGAATGAGATTCTGTTTCTAAAAAAAGGAAGAAAGAAAAGAAAAGAAATTTGGCATAGGTTACATTAAGTAAACCCAGACTGAGGGGAGGACAAGAGGCAAGGGAACTGGTTTTGAAATTCTGAAGTGTTATTTGATTTTGGAAGCATGATTGTTTCTGGCTCTGAGATTCATAAAAGTAGCTTTACATGTTTGCTAATGTTTTATCAGGCTATTTTAATAAATAGCCTAATAATGTATTTCAGAATTGCCCTTGCTATGAACTGATAAAATTTATACTAGGAAGGGATCTCATGGAGAAGCCAAGTCCCAGTCATGCAGAACACGTGACAGCAGAACTCTCAGAACCCAAGAACGGTACTACAGTTGACATGTACTATTCTGTTCTTTTGCTTTACAGAAATACAACCAACTTAATTTTCCCAGTATTTAGTGTAATGTAATCCCTCCCTGATCCTATACCAATTTTTAAAATTTTGTGCTGCTAAAAGGTTAATAACCCACTAAAAGGTTATTTTCCTAGCATAAATATTGTTTTGTGCTTAAATCAATTTTCACATTAATAATGACATTATAACTTAATAATTTAGAAATAAATATAAGCAGAATTGTTCTACAACAGCTATAATTTTTATTAAGAGCACACAATCATCTGAAAGCCTCCAGATGTCCCTAAATTCTAGCCATAATTTAAGGGAAATTTATAATTGTAGAGCTAGAAATTATTTTCTTTTCATTTCTTTGTTTTTATAGAATCCTCACCCCACTGTTTTCTGAGTCTTTTCCTAAGGATATTAGCCTGGTTAATGGCTTTTTTCATTACCCATATTAGCATTCACTATTAATGCTTCACATTAGCATTTACCACCAAAGATTTAGGAGTATATAATGCAAATTGTTAATCACAAACTTTTTCTCAATTCTACTGTTACTTTATTTCTCTCCTTATAAGCTTTAGAGAAAGAAAATACAGATGAAATATTTTTTTTAAATGAAAAGCAGTCCTAAAATAGACACCCTTAAGTCTTGAACCATTCATATCATTGCACAGAAATGCAGGGACACTCTTCTATCTTAAGTAACAAGAGGAGTCTATTTAATGTTGGTTCATTTTTGCTTTACATTTAAATAACTTGTTTAAGTTCTGTAAAATGTCTACAGTTTTTAAAATAACAAGAGTACATATTTTTAACAAATTCATCAATGTAATGCACTGTATGAATAGAATAAAGAACAAAAACCACATGATTATTTCAGTAGACACAGAGACAAAACTTGACAAAAATCCAATACCCCTTCATGATAAAAACATTCAACAAACTAGCAGTTGAAGGGAATTTCCTGGCTCTGATAAAAGACATCTACAAAAAGCCTAAAACTAACATCACACTTAATGGTAAATGACTGAAAGTATTCCCCCTAAAATCAGGAACAAGATAAGGATGTCTTCCTTCACCACTTCTATTCAACACTGAATTAGATACTCTAGCTGGGGCATGAACATAAAATAAAAAGCATTCAGACTGGAAAGGAAGAAGTAAAACTATTTCTATATGCAGATGAGATGATCATGTATATAGAAAATTCTAAGGAATCCACACACAAAAAACCTATTAAAACTATTGAGTTTAGCAAGATTTCAGGAAACCAGATCAATATGCAAAAATCAATTATTTTTCTATACACTAGCCAAGAAAAATCCAAACTGAAATTAAGAAAATATTCAATTTACAATAGCCTCAAAACTAATAAAATACCCAGGAATAAATTCAATAAAAGAAGTTCAAAACTTGTTCTCTGAAAACTACAAAACATCATTGAAAGAAATTTTAAAATACCTAAATAAATGGAAGAGATTACATGTTCATATTTGGAAGATTTAATATTGCAAAGATGGCAATAGTTGCAAATTGATGTACACATTCAATGCAATCCCTATAAAAATTCCAACTGCATCTTTTACAGAAATTAACAAGTTGATCCTAAAATTCACCCAGAAATTCAGGGACAAAGAACAGCCAAAACAATCTTGAAAAGTTGGAGTACTCACATGCTCCAATTTCTAAACTTACTACACAGCTACAGTAATCAAGACATGTTTTGTGCATAAAGACAGACATAGATCAATGCAATAAAGCTGAATCCATAAATAAAATCTCACATTTACAGTCAATTGATTTTTGGCAAGAGTGCAAGATCATGGGGAAAGAATAGTCCATTCAGCGAATGATGTTGGGACAAGTGGATATCTACATGCAAAAGAATGAATTTGGACCCACATCTCATATCATATAAACAAATGAACACGAAATGGATCAAAAACCTACTTATAAGAGCTAAAGCTCCAAAACCCTTAGAGGAAAAAGGTACACATTTTAATAATCTTGGATTAGGTAACAGTTTCTTAGATATGACACATAAAGCTTAAGTAATCAAAGAAAATATAGATAAATCTGACTTCATTAAAATTTAAAAAAAAATTGTGTTTCAAAGGACACTATCAACACAGTACAAAGATAACCCACAGAATGGGAAAAAATATCTGCAACTCATATATCTAAGGGACTTGTGTCTAGAATATATAAAGAACCCTTATAACTAAATAATAAAAAGACAACCCAATTAAAAAATGGGCAAAGTATCCAAAGAAGATATATGAATGGCCAATAAGCACAAGAAAAGATGCTCAATATCATTAGCTATCAGGGAAAATGCAAATCAAAGTCACAATGACATCCCACTTCACATCAAATAGGATGGTTATAATGAAATGAAGAATACATAATCATAACAAGTGTTAGTGATGATGTGGAGAAATTAGAACCCTCATACATTGCTGGTGGAAATGTAAAAATGGTACAGTTGCTTTGTAAACAGTTTGGCAGATCCTTAAAAGCTTAAACATAAAGTTACCATACGACCTGGCAGCTCCAATGTTAAATATATAACCAAGGAAATAGAATACATGTCCACACCAAAACTTGTACACAAATGTTCACAGCACCTTTATTCATGATAGCCAAGAAAGTAGAAACAATCCATGTCCACCATCAGATGAATGGATCAACAAAATGCAATATATCTATATAAGGAATATTATTCAGCCAGAGAAAAGGAATAAAGTACTAATACATGTTATAGCAATAAGGGAACCTTGAAAACATTATGCTAAATGAAAAATGCCAGACATAAAAGGCCACATATCATAGGATTCCATTTATATGAAATGTCCAGAACAGGCAGATTCAAAGAAACAAAAAGTAGGTTAGTGGTTGCCAAAGGCTCTGAGGAGAGGACAATGGGGACTGACTACTAACGGGTATGGGGTTTCTTTATGGGGTGATGAAAATATTCTAGAATTAGTGGTGATGGTTGTATGACTTTGTGAATATACCAAAACCCACGGAACAGTATACTTTAAAAGGATAAATTTTATAGTTTGTAACTTATAGCTCAATAAAAAAAGATCATTTATTTACAAATGAGTAAAGAAAAAGTAGCAGTTTAAATAGATGTATACTAGAATCACATTTACGAATTTAATGATCCATTATTTGTGGTTATGCCTGCCAAGAATTTCACCATTAACTCAAATAAGTGAGAGGTAACTATTAACCTCAAATATGCAAAGTGTCATAGATATATCTTACCTAGAACACTTTGCTATGAAAATGATGCAATAAATAAAGTCAAAGTTAAACATTTCTATGCATTTCTTTAGTTAATTATATATTTTATAGTGACGAATATTATTAAATCAGCATTCAGTGTCTGCATTTCTCATTAGTAGGTTATATTAAAAAAATTCAAAACTTCAGATTGGTTGGATAATGGTCTGCACTAAAGTCTAGACACCTGATTCTCTCATTTCATTCTGTAATTTCAGTCAGTTAATATGTATAAAGTAACTGTTGTGTTAGTGCACCATCTTGAGCAGTTAGGAATTCTAATTTTGAACAACATCCTCCATCCTTTTCCATTACCACTGATGTTATAGAACTATATAGCTTTGAGAGCTATAACCAATTGCTAAATATCATATTTAGATTTTGAACTTGAAAGTAATCTATCTTCACTGCAGGGGGAAAAGTCCTAGTCTTCCAAATATCCCCAGGGACTTTTGGAAATATTTACTGACACAAAATGAACTGTTTACAATTGTGGGGTGAATGCTCTTTTCTTTGAATCTCTGACTTCCTGTTTCTCTTCCCAATCCCAAAAAGGAAAGGAAAAGAAATGAAAGAGTTCTTCTACTTAGGCTTACCGTTTTGAAGATCAGGGTTAGCCTCTCTATTCTTTACTTCCCTCCTCTTAAGGGACAGCTTAACTGGGCCAAGTAAGTGCGTGCGTGTGCGTGTGTGTGTGTTTTCTAATGCAGAAAAGATGTCTTGCTTGACCAGACTGAGACTTGCCTTGTTTAAGGAACCTTCTGACCACCACCTAGCCCCACTTGGGCAACGCCTGCCCTTCGGAGGCACTGCCCAGAACAGCCTTGCTCCTCACTGCACGCTCCACACTCCTCGGGGACACACACCGCTGTGCGGTCCAGGCTTGCAAAGACTGGCGTTTGCACAAAGAAAGCAGTGACCCGCGGACAGCCCAGCACTACAGCTTTTCCAACGTAAATGGTCCAACTTCTCTTTCCAGTCTTTCGCACATCAGATTCTACGGGCTGAAGTGCATCGTCTTTTTAAAAGGGGTCTACAAACTTCAGGGACAGCGTAGTTCAAGGTAGGTCACCTTAAGACACTCTGCTGTCCCGGCAACTCGAGGTGTAGAAAATAGTTCTTCGAAGTTTTGAGAAGTTTCGCCCCGGAGATCACACTGGGTCTCCCCAAAAGCGGAGGCCGAGCCGCAGCGGCCCTCACTGCGTGGGCACTCGGCGCGGGGACGCGGGGCTGCCTTGCTGAGCCCCCCAGGACCGCCCGCGGCCAGCAGCCCGGGCCCCGTGTTTTCAAACAAATGTCACGGGAGCCCGGGGAGGTTGGGGCTACAAGCCACGGCCCCAGCCCACCCCTCCAGGCAAGACCCAGACCTGGAGGCAGAGCCCGGGCTGCGGGGCAGACGCAGAGCTGAGTCCCGAGCCAGCCAGCTCCAGCCCCTATCCACGCCCGCGGACTGCCGCCGGCGCCCCCATCCTCGACTCGGCGAGCCCCCAAGGATGGAGCGCTCTCGCGGGGCCGGGGATCGCGGGGTAGCGGAGACGCTGGGGTCGCCTCTCGGCTCCAGGCCCTTCCCACCTGCCTACCTCAGCTGCGGGCCCCGGTGGCAGCGCGCAACGTCTTGGCAGCGCCTGGTCCCGGGGATCCCGGGCTCTCAGCCCGCGCCCGCCTCGGACTAGCCCGCAGCAGGCGGGGGCAGGATACCTCCTCCTCCTCCTGGGACTGGCGGCCAGAGTAGCCAATCGGGGATGCAGACGGCCACGAGGCGTCACGGTGGGTGTGGCTATAACTTTGGCTCCTCCCAGTTTGGCCCAGGAGGGCGTTCTGTCCTGTAGTGGTCAACCAATAGCCTTCCCCACACTTGGAGTTCAGGCTAGTTGTCGCCTTAGGTCACCTCCATGCAATTCCCTCTGCCTGGACTCAGTCTTGCTTGGTGTCCCAGCCTGAAGTTTCTCCTCTTGCCAATCCACTCTTCATCCTCTTGCCAGGTTAATGGTCCTTAAGAACAATTTTAATGTACATTGTGCCAAAGACCATCATTGGCTTCCTTTTGCTTAAATTATCAAGAACAGATTCCTTAGTCTGGCATTCAAGGCCCCCGTCCTACTTTTTCAGGTTTATTTCTCACAGTTGCCCTTCACACACCTGAGACTGCTGCTGTGCACCTCCTCACCCCAAGGAAGTCCACTGGGAACGTTTACATGCTGTTTCCCATTCCATATTTTAAAAGTTCTAACTATCAGCCAGTTGTGGTGGCCCACACCTGTGGTCCCAGGTACTCAGGAGTCCGAACTCAGGAGGATGGCTTGAGCCCGGGAGTTTGAGGCTGCAGTGGGCTATGATCGTGCCACTGCACTCCAGCCTGGGTGACAGAGCGAGACCCCATCTAAGAAAGAAAGAAAAAGGAAAGAAAGAAAGAGAGAGAGAGAGAGAGAGAAAGAAAGGAAGAAAAGAGAGAGAGAGAGAGAACAAGAAAGAGATCTAATCATCCTCTAAGACACAGCTCAAAATAATGCTCATGTAACCATGTCTGTCGCCCCACCTAGCAGAAATCTCTTGTTTCTGCTCCCTCAGCATCTAGGTTTTTGCCCCTCTTGGCATTTAGGTCCTTCTGTCTATGCACTGCCCCTTATCTTTCTGTTTGACTGTGAGGACTTTGAAAGTACAGAGCATGTTGCATAAATAAATAAATGAAAATTTATACCCAGTTGAATTTTACATCCCAAGCTGGGGACTGGAGAGGTTGGTCTCAGGGTAAAATAAAAAAGAGAATTCTGAGTGTTATGGGTAATCTTTCCCCAGGTCATAAAGCCAGGCCAGACAAATTACTCTCTTTGGCTCACAGTTGGCCAAGAGAGGGTATCAGAAGGTTTTCCCACTGCAATCATTTTGTTTTTTAAGCTTTATTGCAGCTTACATAGAAAATACACAAAGGAGATAAAGATTTACGAAGTTCCTTAGAGGAAAGGCAGTAAGTGAATATGACTAAAAGGCCAGCTAGAAAGTATGAGGCTTCCATATTTTTTCCAGATGAGCACTAATTTTGGACGGGATCCCAGACTACCCCCACACATTGAATTCCTTTTGCCTTCTGTGGGAGCTGATGATGCATATCATATGAAAAATTGTCTCCAAACAGCTTTGGCAAACAAGCAGGCTGGACTGGGCTTACTTTACAGAGCACGCAGGAGTTAAATAAACAGAGTTTGAGTAACTTGCATAATTTAACACAGTAAGTCAGTAGAGACCAAGCAGGAGAAAGAGAGACAGAATGCCAAAATAGAATCACTTCTGTTTGTGAGTCAGAAATACTAAATAGACTAACAGAACTGAGTGAATAGAGTCACTCATGAAAAGCGGCTTTCTAAACACGGCTGCCACCCTTGTAAGGCTCAGCCAACATTTATGTACTGTCACCTTTTGCCAGAAACATGACAAGCTGAATTTGTTTGACTATGGAGAATACAGTGGGACAGCATCCTGTTTCTGCCTATGCTAAGAAAAATACATGGTACAATGGAATATTATTCAGCAATAAAAAGAAATGAAGTACTGAAACATGCAACAACACAGATAAACCTTGGACAACTAAAAATATATAGAAAAAAATTAGCCGGGCATGGTGGCGCATGCCTGTAGTCCCAGCTACTCGGGAGGCTGAGGCAGGGGGATTGCTTGAACCCAGGAGTTTGAAGTTGCAGTGAGCTAGGCTGACACCACGGCATTCTAACTGGGGCAACAGAGAGAGACCCTGTCTAAAAAAAAAAACAAAAAACATGCAGGTTCAGACTCAGTAGGTCTGGGATGGAGACCAAGTTTTCACATTTCTAACAAGCTCCAGGGATGCACTTTAAGTAGCAAAACTGTGACTATATGATTCCAAGAGCACTGGGAACCCACTGAAGTGTTTTAAACAGGGACATGACAAAAAAATCAGATGTGGCAAGAATGTAGAGAGGGGGCTAAAAAAGAGCAAAGTAGATTCAAATAAACCAGTTAAGGAACTATTTCAGTCATCCTGGGGAAAGATGGTGTCAGACTGGTAGTGGTGGTGATGGAGAGAAGCAATAGGTGACCAAAGCTATGCTTTAGGAAGCACTATCTAGCGTGGTGGGGAGGATAGCTAGGAGAAGGGGGAAAAATTAGGAGGCTAAGGAAGTACTTCAATACAGATCTGAACTAGGATGCTCATGCTGATAATGACCTGGAGGATGTGGTGGGCATTAAAAGATTTTGGGTGAAATAGAAATGGTAAACTGTCAGGGAGACACAACACATTGAGCACTATTCCAAGTGCATTAGCATACATAATCTCATGACAACCCTGTCATATAGGTATGTCTTAGTTCATTTGCATTGCTATAAAGGAATACATGAGACTGGGTAATTTTTAAAGAAAAGAGGTTTATTTGTCTCACAGTTCTGCAGGCTGTACAAGAAGCATAGTGTCAATGTCTGCTTCTAATGAGGGCCTCAAGAAGCTTCCACTCATGGTAGAGGGTTAAGAGGAGCCAGTGTGTGCAGATCACATGGCAAGAGAGGAAGCACGAGAATGGAGGGAAGTGCCAGACTCTTATAAACAACCAGTTTTCAGGGGAAATAATAGAGGGAGAACTCATTCCCTATTGTGTGGACAGCACCAAGCCATTCATGAGGAAACTGCCCCCATGACTGAAGCACCTCTCATTAGGCCCTACCTCCAACATTGGGGATCAAATATCAACATGAGGTTTGGGGGACAAACATCCAAACTATGGTAAGGTACAATTATTATTTCCATCTGACAGATAGGACAACCGCAGTCCAGCCATGTCACATAACTGGCCCAAGATACACAGAGATTAAGTAGTGGAACCAGGAATTCTGGCTCCATAGTAACCACTACTGTATACCACAGATGCTCCTCAACTTACGATGAGATTACATCCCAATAAGCCTATCCTAAGTTGAAAATATCATAAGTCAAAAATGCATTTAATGCCCTTAACCTGCCAAACATCATAGCTTAGTCTCACCTACCTTAAATGGACTCAGAACAATTATGTTAGCCTACAGCTGGGCAAAATCATCTAATAGAAAGCCTATTTTATAATAAAGTTATTATAAAGAATTGTGAATCAAAATTCAAACTACAGTTTCTACTAAATATGTATTGCTTTCATGGCATAATAAATTTAAAAAATCATAAGCTGAACCATTGTAAGTAGGGGACAACTAGTACATCTCAACTGCTTTCAAAAAATTGAATCTATAGGGTCTGACAACTGATTAGAAGGGGGAAACAGGAGAGTCTAGGATGTTTTATGTCTGTGTAATTGGGAAATGATGGTGCCATTAACCAAAGTAGGGAAGGAAGGAGAAGAAGGAGCTAGTTAAGGGGAAGAAGAATGATGTCTGGCTTGGAGGTGCTGAGTACAACTTGGTGTGCCAGCAAAACATCCAGGAGACAGTGAGCAGGAAATCAGTCAGGCTGAGTTGTAGGGAAAGGTCTGGGTTTAGGTATATACTTCAAATAATCTACATAGAGGAGAGATTATTTTACATTGTAGAATGATACATTCTACATAACCATTTGGCATATAACCATTCGGCCACATTTGGCATACTTGGACCAAGGACAGAGGGGTTCAAGGGTGCAGAGATAAGGGAAGTAGATAAGCACCACGGAAGAAGTGTCTAGTTCTTTAATCCAACCACACATGAAATTCAGAAATTCAAGGGCTAAGGAGTTCAAAGGTCTCCACTGATCAGCTTGAAAAGTTTCAATCAACTTTTCCTTGGGTCGCTTTTACAAGCCTTATAAGGATAACTCCCTCAGTCTTTGTCTTTGTTTCCCTGAGAGCTGCTGTTTAATTTTCATCTGCACTGAACTGGGAGATTTTTGTCCAGCTGTGGATTAGCAACAGCTGGCCTTTGGCCAAGTTCCAGAAACACAAAGTTAGACAGGCACTATCCTTACAGACTATTCAATTCTCATGGCGCTTTCTCAACATGACACCGTGGCTCTTCCAAGCTAACACCTGCCTCCTTAATGTTTTCTCTTTATGTGCTAACTTGTACACTTAAATTTCTAACTGGCATGACTTTACCAGGAAAAATTAGGAATGCAGTAGGCATTTGGGGGAAATTTTGATACAAACAGTATCTCAGAACAAAAGAATGAAGGCACCCTCATGAGTGGATTGTTTGTCTTGTTTGCCTAAAAGAGAGAAAATTTTGTTTAACTTAGGAAACATCCCCTGCTTTGTTTTTGTACTTTGGGAATTAATAAGACCTGACATTTTAATGGCATGGCTTAATAAAATTATCTAGGACTCAAGTTATGTCAAAACCAAGTGCATGCCATTCTCTTTTGTGTAAATATATGTAGAAATTATTTTTTTTATATCTAAACTTTCTTCTTTCAGAGGGAACATAATTAGCTTTTTACAAAAACAATTTCATGTTTTTCTGAAGCTGGCTCCCTCACATTTTTTTCTATTCTTTTTTCTCTCATTTTTCTTCTCTTGGGATACTTTAAAGATTAATTAATTTTTAAAAAGCATTCAGTTGTGTCCTCACTCCAGGAATATAGTCTAGATAAGCAGTCAGAACTATCTAAAAGAAAGAAAAAAGTTATTAAACTGTGTTTCTTCTTTTTGATCCTAAAAAGTATATTTCCATAATAGCCTACAT